TCTGTCAGTAGCAGTGAGCCCCAAGATGGTTATTTTTTTAATACTAATTTTATTAAGCATTAGTTATACAGATAAAAAATAATACAAACTACAAAAAATAAAGGAATAGAAAGAAAAGATAGTGCAGAAAAAAAGAAAAATAGAAAAAAAAATAGAAAAGAAGGAAAAAATAAGAATATAGCAAAGAAAAAGAAAATAAATACATTAAGAAATAACTTCCCCCTTCTTCACAACAAGTATAGACAATGTTAACAACTTATCACCTTCTCTTAAAATACAACAAACTATCTCTTCATCCCATATCCTATCTATAAACAAATCCTTAAAACCTTGTCATTCAGTCCTGGTCTGCAAAAGTCCATTAAGGGTTATCAGAAATAATGACATCTATTTTAAGCTTGATCAGATAAACTAACCTTATATTTCTTCCCTTTACTTTTAACAATCTTGATCTTTAACCCCTTCAAATAATGTCCTAGATTTCTTTTCCTTTTTTCTTTGCCCCTTCTCACCAAGTTTTTTCAAAAGTTTAACAGATCTTTGTAAATCCTGTATAGGAAAATTATCCAAGTCACTCTTCTGGTTTGTTATTTGTATGTCCCTTTTAATTTTTAAGACATCAGCCGGTTTCATTTGTATATCCAGTATATTGTATTTTTCCAGATCATTCTTGTAGCCTGTCATTTTTAAATCAACATTCAAATCTATTTCATTTATGTCCAGTAGAACTTGTTCCTCTTCCATAACATCATTTACACACAATCTAACTATGATGGCAGACATTCTTAAAAATAACTTCTGAGTCCATTGTTCACAAATATCCTTCAGTACATGCAATATTAAAGTATTTTGCTCCATTCTGTGTTAGTAAGTCAAATTTAAGTGATCTTCTCCTTTAATTGTAAACTTTAATTCCTTTTGGCTCCCTCTAGTGTCCAACCTTCAAAGTCCCATCCTATCATTTTTTTTCTTTTTTTCTGGAATTCAAAAGAACAGCCATTTCCCATGGGAAGGATTCTTATATATATATTTTTAGATTTTTTAAAATCCAGCCTTTATTATTTTTATAAATAAGTCAAGGTGGCAAACATACTTAAATACTCCTTCCTCCTATTTTCCCCACAACAACCCTGTGAGGTAAGTTGGGCTGAGAGAAAGCGACTAGCCTAAAATTTCAAAATCTTATTCCAAATCCAACTGGACCCTTAGTCCATTTATAACTTTCCAAGAACAACACTCTGATCACCCTTTTGCCATTATTCTCCCAAAAAAGAATTTTTCTAAGTCCTTAGATTCATACAGTACTTAAAACTTCTTTCATTAAAAATTGAAGGAAACTCACCCAGTGAATGCCATAAAACTTGCCATTCTGAAGGTTCTTAATATTTGAAAAGCAGTAAAAAAATAAATAAATCCAAAAGTGACTAAGAAATGAGGCTCGGCTGAACTTTATGTCCATATTGGCTACATTATGACTGTGGACTTAGTTGGAATCCCTCAACTCCTAGCTGCCTGGCTCACCAGCCGATCGCAAAAACCTCGGTTCCTGCAGTCTACTCTCACGATCTCTCCTTTCCCTGTAGAGATTTTGCCAGCCATGATCCCCCCTCTGGCCACCAATCTCCACCATAATGCTGTCCCTGCTCCATCAGGGACATCTAGCTTGCCATGTCCTCACTGAAAGTCCCAGTCCCAATATGGTTATTAACGAAACTGTTTAGTATAAGATGCTGTTATTACCCTCTTCCTGACCTATTGATGGAAAGGTATGGACTATGCTCAAGGCAGAGACACTAGAAAATTCTTAGAGCTAGCAATTTCTTGAATGTGGCTACCAAATGAATACCATATGACCTCTTACTGATCTAAAGATTTTACAGAAAACACATGTAAATAAATTGCATTGCATTACAGGCCAGCTTAGAATTAATCTTATTTGTTGCCTACCAAAATCAGAATAGGTTATTAAATGTTTGATTACAGAAGATTTCAGGCAAACGCTACTGTTGCCTATGCAATATTTATTTTGGGACAAATTGAAGTGGGAAGTCAAGTGAAGCTCTAAGTATAGGACCCAGAACAGGTTTTGACAGTATTATATCTCTGTAAGTATCCACTTGTTACACTAAACTGAGTATTTAATTAACTTAAGTAAAACACCTCTTCACCACAAATCATTTTATGCCAATATATGCCTTTGGTGCACTCTCTGTCATGGTGGTCTGTCTCTGGCAAAACATCTTGCTAGCTTGCCTATCTGCCAATCTTTTGCTTGCTGACATTAAACATACATGTCTTCACCAATTCCTTCTACCCAAATTCAAAAGTTTTACTCCCTTTGTTTATAGTTGGGAGCCTCAACATAGTACTTAGGAACACTTCCCTTAGAACCACCAGACTTCCTGCCCTACCTAATATTTTAAATGTTTCCTTTTTTTTTTTTTTACTAAATCTAACTGGAATGCCCCTAAATAGTGCCAGTCTTCTGCACCATCTCTGCATTTAAGAGTGCTACTGAGTCCTACAAGAGCCCCACAGGTAGGCTCAGAAATTAGCAGGGATGGGTATTTGCACCCCAATGATTTGTTTAAGATGAGATGATCTGCTATTCAATTCAGAACAATTACTTTTAATTAAATGCTACACCAGCATTTTGTCTCTTCCGATATCCTCCACTAGTTTCTCATCCTTGCCTTCCAAACCATCCATAGATGTCTTCTATCCTTCTGTTCCCATATTGTAATGCATAGAATCAAAAAGCTGGGAGGGGGCATTTAGGCCACGTCCAACTCCCTGGTTCTCTGTAGGCAATCCATTTTTCTCTGCTGTCCCACCTGTTTAGAATTGTCTCCACCAGTATGAAGCAATCATAATTTCTACAAATCCCTCTTCTGAAATAATCATTCTTGGAAGGGTTTTAACATTATTGTGCAACTACAATTTCATATTAGAACTAGGGCCAAATAGTTATTATTGAGGTAACTACATAGTCCCCCTCCATCTACCTCTCCTTCTATATCCCCAATCCTGGTCCTCTCCTGTTTCCTGCTGTCAATTTTTAGACTGTAAGCCATTTGCATTAGGAGCCTGTGAAAACTGCTCTTTGTAAAGTTTTATCTCCATAGTTGATCTTTTTTTTCTGCAGAATACTTGTATATGATACTAATTACCTGCCCTTTGGAACATCCTTCCCCCAGAAGTGAGATTGGCCCCCTGCCTTTTAGACTTCAGAAAAAAACTGAAGACCTGGTTTTGTCATTATGCATGGGGTGGGAAAGGGAACAGTCAGTTTTGGGGATGGCTGGTTCC